TTGTGAAAATTCAGGCCATACTTATTCAAACAAGCAAACATACCATAAAAACATAATATCAGGATATAATTACATGCCAAGTCAGATTATAAAGTGTATGTATGCTTTCCATCTGATCTAGCTGTATTAGTGTTTCATTGATTCTCAGTGTTTCACATATAGCTCAGTGGGAATAGTAAACATAGACTTATCTTGTAATTGTGCAGCAATTTGGAAGACTCTCTCGGTCTCCCAAATTGTACGAGCATTACATGTACCTAAATAAATGGTGGCTCTGGTTGTCAGAGGAGGCCTCGGCCTCGTGACTTCAGGAGAAACTCGGCTTTCATCATAAGGCATCATAACTCTTCTAAATGAAGACGTTCTGACACCCAGGGCAGGGTTTAGACGGTTTGAATATTTTTTCTGGTTAGCGTTATTTTTAGTGAGTAAGATTTTACAGGATGGGGTCGCTAACCCCATGCCTAACCCTCCTACTTTATCCGGGCTTGGGACCGGCACTAGCCCCCGGAGGGACACCAGGCAGAGATTATTTTGTAATTAGTTCTTGTTACTAATCGGACAGTTTCAAACTAATGTGCTAATTTGTACGGAGGGTCTTTTGGTGGCTGGCACTGCGTCAGGCCAACATAGCTTGTCCTAGTTTCTGGACAGGCCAATTTATCCACCATTTTGAGCTTGTTGGTTATTCCCTCATTTAGTTTGTTTTTAAATGATCTTATATGTGTTAATAATTTACTCTACTCATCACATGTCTGTGAATTATTCTTGGTCCTACTATAAACATTGAGTTACGCCTGATCAAATCGAGTTGACTCACCTCCACTGCGCATCACAACGTCTCGCTTCGGCTTCTTCACCTCTTTTCTGAGATTGTCTGTCTGAATCAATGTTTGTATGAAATATATATTCAAAATTCACTATTAATTGGCTTATTTCATTCCGTTATTTTGTAACGAAGACTAAGCCGTTAAAGATATACGGGGGTTGGTGGCATTTACATTTCGATAACAATCATCATACGGTTTAATTGGTGTCAGATATGGGGCTTTCGTGCCTGTAGGTAACCCTCGTGCTATGGATAGAAGAAACCAAACTATTAGTGAATAGGTCTTTATTTAGATCCCCGCGCAGTCACAGAGGAGCGTGGGATTACTTGTTCAGACAAACAAAGCTTTTCAACGTTCAATATAAGATAATAGGGAATATAATGTCTAAACAAAATGGGGAAGTGAATGATAGCTTGAACTTTGTTGTTTTGACATATACTTAGTTATTTGATGTTGTTTTGTTCAAGTATTTGCTCCTTCCCGTTATTGAAGTACGGTATGTCGATCTATTTGCAATTTACAAACCCAAATTGACAATAGGATCAAACTCCATTTTAGGTACCAAAGTTTATTCGCAACTTACAAATAGTTGGCCCAAATGTCGTTCTAATAACAATAATTTTAACAATTACAAAACAAACCTTCAATTTTGTAGGTTCCCGGAGCAAAAACTCACAAATACCAAACCAAAAACAAAAGAAACCAAAATTTCCGAAAACAATGATATATAAAAACAAGTTCAGGCGTTGAGTAAAACAAATACACTTGAAAAATACAGTAAGATTACTAATATACAACAAAAAGGTTTGAATCAGCCAAAAGTCTTCAGTTCTCTCGTAACAGATGTCAACTCTAAACCAGTCAACTTAGGCTGTTACTGAGCCACTAAACATTCAAAGTGGTAGCTACTTTCGAAATGTGTTTGTGATGAAAAAGAAATGGCTTAATTCAGGCAAATGATTACAATATTCATAAGGATGGATTAACTTTATTCAGACGAGTATATTGCATCGCTTTGAAAGTGACCTATATTAATCGCAATTAAATATCGTTGCGAGACGGGACTCTAAAAATACACAAATAATGCGACGGACTGAAGATCTTATAATGAGTGTATAAATTCTAGACCATTTAGCCGGCATCCTACAGTGTATATGTTTAATTTCAATCAATTTAGAAAATTGTAAGACCAGCTTCCATTTCTCGTGATGGATGACTGTCTCTTAATCGACATGATTAAGCTCCACAGAATACAGATTCTATCTAGAACTCCATGAATTGTATCCCGAAGTTAGTCAATAGCGAGTCTATTATGGTTGTCTAACCAAGTTCAGTCCATGTGTAAGTTGTGGAATTTTGCAGTTTAGTTTACACATGAATTCTAATCGAAGTAGTATAATAATTATAACTGTTTGAATGTATTTGGTGACTAATAATTACCGAAGTAGTGCAATCTAAAGCAGGTGGAATTAGATGAACACAACTGAAACTATCAAGTTTGGGTTTCGTAATCAGTGCGCAATCAAGTGCAAAGGAATCACCAGTTAAAACAAATACTTAAAAAATGCAACTTAACAAAGGTTAAAACAGCATGATTATGTGCATATATATATATATAACTAAACTGATTGTAACAGAAAGAGAACGATGAAAATCCCTCTGCAGCTTCTTTGTTGAACAGTAATGTCATTTATTTGTTCCTTCACCTTGTTGTGTATTTTAACCATTGTTACGATCACGTTTAACCATATCTTTTGTACTTCAGTCTTCCTCGTTCGAGCCTTTATAACGTGATTTTGATTAAGGACTTATCTTTTGTTACCTAAGTTATCATTGCATGTTGCCTGACCATCGACAGTAAGGTGGCGTTTGACTAAGCTTAAGGTCACGGCGTGGTTCAGTGTGTGATTGCTAACCTTCTGACTGTCTGCTTGGGAGGATTGCTGGGATCCCTGCAGATAGGTATTTGATCCCATCTTGTTGGGGATATTTTTATTGATTCTCAGGTATCAAACCTCAAAGTATTAACTGTTTCATTCATTATTTAGCGTGCTACTTTGCTTTAGAGAAACTTCTGACTGTATAGCACAGGCTGTACCGTTTGAGGTATTTTGTATTTTTGATGTAATTTGTTCTGTTTTCTAAATTAGAACCGTTTATATTGAGCACAGAGTTTGCGTTTTGATATAATATAATACGAGTATCTCAGAAACGTGTTTTGAGCTATACAGACGAACGTGGTCTGGTCTAAACGAATAAATTTAGGGTTCGTCAGTCCGTTGTTCCAACCGGATATTGGTTGTTCCGTCGTTACACTGATGTTGAGTTAACAATCAAAGGTCCATGGCTGAAAGCAGATAACCTGTCTTGCTCGGGGACGACGCTCACTTGCTGTCAGCGTTGCCTGGGTGACCTGTTGTATGGAACAATCATAAACACAAATGGTTACGAAAATATTGATGCCGAAACTGGACATGACCCATTAGAACTTCGACCACTTGTTCGCAAATGACCTGCCATATAGAGTACTTACACTTTATGAACTATGTAGCTGGGTTCCATCTGAACTCAAAACAAAAAATCACAGTTATTAATAATAATGACTACAACTTATTCTCAATAAACGTAAGCTACACAAGGCATGCCAATTCAGAGATAAGACCAAATTATGAACATAATGCTTCATTTTTTTTTACCATCTTAGTAGGCAGTACATTCTTGTGTTTTTTTATGAAAATGTCGTTGTAAATGTTCCCTTCTACCATCCGCATGGGAGTCCAAAACTTGCTGTACTCACTTATCAGTGCTTTTATGCATCGGTATTTTCATTACTATGGTGTTGAGTTACTAAGTAAGAAACCAATTTTTGAGCGTCAGTCAACTTGTAGCGGTAAATAAATACCCAAAATAAATAGCTCTGTAAGTCTTCAACATTGGATGCTGACCACATTAGTTTTAATGGACTCACCTAACTGAAGGCGCTTGGTCATGCATCCGCGCCAGATTACGAGTGGGAACACCGTGCTCAACATCCCCTGCAACTGCTGGCCAGATTAAATCAGACGATCCTCGATATATTGATAACCTATCAAATATATCTTAGAACCTCCTCGCTTCTGTCTTTTGACTTCTTTTGTTGGGTACACTTCATATTAGGTGTTACTGGTTAAAGCGTTATCAAACTCCGTAAACCTGTGGCATCTTCAAACTTTTCAGATGTCCATCGACTCCGTGCACAGTCATACGATCCTCTCTATCCAAACTATTTTCAGATTACTTCAAGACTATTACTACATATTCATAGTAAAAATGCTCTCAGCCGTCGCTAGACTGACATATCCTTACCTATATTCACCACAATGCCACAAGTTAAACGATGATTAGGTATTAGCTTACTCCATACCTGACCATGCGTTTCACGTCAAAACGTCTAGTTTTGGTCTGTTAGGGGGAGATGTTCATTGATATCAAAAGAAATTTTAAATTGTTTTCGTCCGGAATCTTGTTTGTTGAAATACTGAAATTCTACTACAGAACAAATGTTATCAACAATCGTTTTTGAAAAGTTTCATTAAAGATCGAATACCAACAATGCTGAAAGTTATAACGATCAGTACAGGTCACTTGACTCGCTATTCATACCACGTAATTCTGACATACCAATGAAGAAGCAATAATATTTTGTTTCATTAAAGATCGAATACCAACAATGCTGAAAGTTATAACGATCAGTACAGGTCACTTGACTCGCTATTCATACCACGTAATTCTGACATACCAATGAAGAAGCAATAATATTTTGTTTCATTAAAGATCGAATACCAACAATGCTGAAAGTTATAACGATCAGTACAGGCCACTTGACTCGCTATTCATACCACGTAATTCTGACATACCAATGAAGAAGCAATAATATTTTGTTCCTTCAGGTTTTCGATTGATGCCCTATTTTATTCGTAATAAACACTATCAGCGACTCAGAAGAAACTGTTGAAGTCTCACTATATTTTCTGATCCATCACTTGAAATATGAATGACAAAAAGTCTGAATTTGCTTTTAATTAATTGACTATGAAGGTCGAAAACTAAGCATAATTTCTAAATAGTCGGGATCACGTTGTTGCCTTTTGCCAAGGTATTATTGACTCAAACCTGTAGTGGTTTGTGATTATGCCCATTAAAAGGGGTCATATTGCACCACACAACACCTACATTGTAACCCTTATTAGGAATTTTGACTCCCAGTGTAAGTTTAATCAACGTTTTCCCAAGTTGTTAGATGAAAACTTTATCGTGGCAAATGCCACACTTCCTTCCAGACCAATTATATACTGTAGTGATGGGTTTTGTGAGCTTCTTCGATATACAAAGGGCCAGCTTATGCTCAAGTCTTCAGCTTTATCAATTTTCTATGGACCGGAGACTACTGTTGATTCGATGGAGACTTTGTTGGCAGCCCTTAATCAGACTAACGAGACGGAAGTTCTTATGAACCTTTATTCCAGAGATAGTAATTTATTTTTGTTCTGTTACCAGTTTTAGATTGCGTTATGTGCTTCCGCATTGTTGTAACTCCTGTCCGAGACGAGACTGGTGGGTTGCCACTCTACTTACTTTTTTTCAGAGAAGAGGTCAGTAACACACAAACCCTCTTGCAAATGAACAAAGGTATACGCTAAGTTAATTCTATCATTAACTATAGGACCAGGTCTGCGCACAAAGTGGCAGCTAAAATCTTTTCGAGTAAACAAAAGCCCTAACCATATGCCGAAAAATCCCATTCGAACTAACATACCAAGTATTCACCTACTATTCTCAAAGTTCTATATTTAGAATCTACCAAATCTTCTGTCTTGGACGTGAGAAAGAATTTCAGAGATAAGAAGTGTGATACATCTGATTCGAAGCTGGGCACGGTAGGTGAAGGTAAGGCATTTCCAGCTAATTGTTAGCTAAGATTTTGAGCGTTTCCATCATACGTTGCTGAAGTTCAGTTGAAAACATTTTAGCTTTCTGATCGAATAATAATCAGTGTTTCTACTGTCTATTCAGTACTGTCCATAAATTGATTTATTATTTTTCACACTATTATTGTTATTATTATCTAAATATCAATTCATTCCTAATAGTTGTCTTGTGACTGAAAATAATTTGAAGTTTCATTACTTTTTTCTTCTCTTCTAAGGTGCAGTATCAAACTGATGGCTTTGTATACTAGTTTCATTGTTAATGAGTGATACTTTCACGGTCTATATTCGGTACTAATTTGCATCGTGCACAGATCTTCAGTAACCTTTTGCTCTATCTGTTCGAGGCAGACTAGGTACTTAGTGTACTTGGTAGTTAAGATGCTCTCTTTTTCTTTGTAAAACTGCCTTCATTCATAGCAGCACTTTGCAGTGCATAGTATGTTTATAAGTGTAGTGGTGGTTTGTTTTACTCTTCGCCAAACAACTTTGATCAGCCATCTCCAAATGGCGTTCTCGAATACCAAAATCAGAAAAGTCAGTTTACATATATCCTGATCTGCCTCAAAAGTGTTTGTTTCATCATAAAGAGAACATATCTCAGTATTTAAACCTTGTATCAAATATGCTTCAGACCGTAATCGATACAAATCTTGCTCTAGCATTTTTACGAATTCGAAATAAAGAATGGAATAAGTTTTGGAAGGAAATAAAGTCTTCATTTTGTCCTTAGTTTGATATGAATTATCAATCATCCCTGAATATTTTTGAGGTGTTATTCTGTGTAAAAGTTCACTTGGCGATAACCTCTCACTGAATGTTTGCAATCACAGTGAAATATTGAAGGCTTTGATGTATGTCCCATATCAGTTATAGTTACATGAATTGCTATTTATATCGGCACTAACATTCCTTTCACTATAAGGATTATATTATATACCGTTAAGAATTAAAATTAAAAGTTCTAAACAGATTATTATGAAATTGTTTCAAACTATTATTTTTTATAGAAAGTAAAATACATCTGAGACACTACTGTCGCTTTCGTAAAATATAAAAAAAAACTTTAAAAGTGGCACTTGTGGGTCATCGATAAAAAGTTACTCCATTGCAAGTAATCTCTCTTGCGTTAACATGTTATCGAATTATGACTTCTGAGTTTCTCAGTCGTCCCAAAGATCAGTGAGAGTATGTAGTGTGAATATGGGACAGCATATGGGAAATTATTTTGTGTAATAAAACTTAGTGCTGTAGGGAAGCTTCAATTAGTGGGAACTATTTTTTTCATTTACGTCAGGTGTAAACACTTCCAGTTATAATCTACGCTTTTTCCAAGGAACTTCGGCGACATAAGGCAAATGCTATTCAACACGGCAAAATATATCGTCAGTTCAGAAACCTAGCCTCATATTTTAAATGATAAAGCTGGATAAAAATCATTTTCTACGAATATTCGTCCAGATTAGAACAAATAGTTTGACAGTAATTGAGCGCCGAGTATAGAGAAGTCATTTTATGTGAAAATTATATTTGAAATATAGAAATCATTTTCATTATATTTTCTATGATCAGACGACAACAAAATAAAAGCTACTAGTATACACCACTTAGATTATACGTACATCAGTACAGACGGTCTCATACACATCACTTAAGCATACGTGTATATATTTACGGGAAAGTGATATACTGTAAGAAAAACCAGGTTTCAAGAATGTGAATCTTATAAGTGCAAGTTGCCAAAGGACTTATCACACTTTAGAGGGCACATCTTAAAAGCCCAAAAACTTGTTTAACTGTATATGTTTTGTAAAAGGTTTCTATAAAGTCTGTCATCTTAACTTAACATCAATTTTTACAAAGGTACTACTATAACGGAGTCATTGGCTCATCCACAAAGCTTATCTTCAAGCGACCAGATCCATTTTATTGAAGACTATCCAAATGAGTCTGTATCTGGTCAATCTAAAGAATGTCGTCCAACTTCCTTATTTTTACCCAAAAATCAAGATGATTCACTTAAAAGAGAATCTCTATCAAAAATCGATGTTTCCGAAAGCCAGCACGGGACTCCTAAATGCTCTGACAAATCTAAGCGTAGACCATCTACATGGTATAGAGGTTACACTGAAGATGAGAGTTCAGAAATAATTCATGGTTCTTCCAGAAAAAGCCGGCACTTACATCCAACCACTGAAGAGTCTGAGGCCCTGCAATTGGTGCTGAGTAGTCATGCAGAGCCACCAAAATCATCCGTTACTGAGAAATTTGCTCAAGTAAGTGAATTCTGATGATTAAAAATGATCTTTTCAGTTAATTTGTCTTGAATCATTTGCTGTTGCGATTATTTTTCTTAGGTGTACATAAACTATAGATTATTCACACTTCCATATACTTGTTCATTGTTATAATGACACAGAAATTGTGAATGTGTGTCACATTAGTCACAATATCAAGCTGTATTCCACTGAATGACTTTCAAACAGTCACGGAATATCATTTCCCTTTGAACCCCAAATGGAACTCATGAGTTAAAATAGCACATAAGGCCTGACACAATATACATTGATCCATGTTCTTAGTGTAACATCAAAAGAGTCTAAATAACGATACTAATAATGATTAAAAGATAGACATCGAGAATATAATCTAAAAAACAAATGAAATCAAATGGCTAAAAGTATGAAGTAGTATTATAGCTCAATATTTTGAAGTATATAGAGTGATAGTAACATCTGTTTCTCAGCGATCGATCAAGATTTATACCATTTAAAGTCTCAAATTATAATTTTTCTACAGACATTCCATTCGCAAAATCTAAGTTTCTTGACATTATTTATTTATTTATTTTAACACATAGATATTGGTACACTTACCTACTTACTTACGCCTGTTACTCCCAATGGAGCATAGGCCGCCGACCAGCATTCTCCAACCCACTCTGTCCTGGGACTCCTTTTCTAATTCCATCCAATTCTTGTTCATCTTTTTCATGTCTATTTCCATTTCTCGGCGTAATGTGTTCTTTGGTCTTCCTCTTTTCCTTTGACCTTGAGGATTCCATGTGAGGGCTTGTCTTGTGACGCAGTTGGGCGCTTTCCTCAATGTGTCCTATCCACTTCCAGCGCTTCTTCCTGATTTCTTCCTCCGCTGGGATCTGCTTTGTTCCCTCTCACAGTACGTTGTTGCTAATAGTGTCTGGCCAACGGATCTGAAACATTTTGCGTAGACAACTGTTAATAAACACCTGTATGTTCTGGATGATGGCTTTCGTAGTTCTCCAGGTTTCCACCCCATACAGTAGAACTATCTTGATATTTGTATTGAAAATCCTGACCTTGGTGTTGGTTGACAGTTGCTTTGAGTCCCAGATGTTCCTCAGTTGTAAATATGCTGCTCTTGCTTTGCCGATCCGCGCCTTCACATCTGCATCAGATCCACCCTGTTCATCAATGATGCTGCCCAAATATGTAAAGGTTTTTACATCTTCCAAATCTTCTCCGTCAAGTGTGATTGGATTGGTGCATGCTGTGTTGTATTGGAGAATCTTGCTTTCCCTTTGTGTATGTTGAGATCTACTACTCCTGAGGTTGCTGCTACACTGGTCATGTTCTCCTGCATTTGTTGTTGCGTGTGCGATAGAAGAGCCAGATCATCTACGAAGTCTAGATCGTCAAGCTGCATCCTAGCTGTCCACTGTATCCTATGCTTCCCCTCAGATGTTGACGTCTTCATGATCGAGTCGATCACCAAGAGAAAGAGAAAGAGTGAGAGTAAGCAACTTTGCCTGACACCGGTCTTTACCTCGAACGAGTCTGTCAATTGTCCTCCATGCACGATTTATCAGTTTAATGCATCATAGGAATTCCGTATGATATTGACAATCTTCTCAGGCACGCCGTAGTGTCGAATAAGCTTCTATAATATTGTCCTGTCCACGCAATCAAATGCTTTCTCGTAGTCAATGAAGTTGATGTAGAGTGATGAATTCCATTCAATTGATTGTTCCACAATGATCCGTAGAGTTGCGATTTCGTCTGTACACGATCTATCCTTACGGAATCCTGCCTGTTGGTCATGAAGTTGGGCGTCTACGCAGTCCTTCATCCTGTTTAACAATACTCAGATATTGGTACAAGGAGGCGCCATATACATATGCGCCACACAAATCTCATTCGATATGTGTGAGGGCTGTGATACTGTCCGGGTGTCCAAACCGAAGTAGGTGGTTTTCTTAGGAGGCCACTCATCGAGCCTTCGACCTGAAGGTCTGATCCACAAGGCAGTGGAGCATCATAAGGAGATGCAGTCCCATGGAAGCCAGTGACCAACGATTGTTTGTTCTTTCAGGATACTGGTGCCCATGTGCACCATTGGTTTGGGATCCGGTTAAAGCGCCGGACATTCGCTTTTCGTCCTCTCAATTTCGTAAACAACAGTAATGTCACGAGAAGGCAGTGAGTAGGACTTCCCTGGTAGAGACTGTATACGCGTGGCCATGTGAGAGCATTTCGAGAGGGAGGGTGGTCTCACCGCACTCTCGGCTATACCAGGGTATTTGGGGGCTCAAACCAACAGACATTGACAACTGCACAAACTGATATTACTTCCTTACTAAAAAGCCCTTGACGTTTTTTCAATATACTTTTATTCTACCTACTATTTCAGGAGTAGATGATGACTACTCAGCCAGTCTTAATACATATTTGAGCTTTGTCGGTTCATGAAATTTCATAATCTCACCAATCGATTTATCATATTATTGAATTACATTAAGTCTAACTTAACTATCACTTAGTCAATAATTTCGTAATATTCAAATAATTTCCCAGTATTTAGGCACCGAGTTAATGTGAGGCATTAAAGAGGAAGAATGTATTTGTAAAATCTCAGCGAAATTATTTGAAGTAAATCCAACATTTCATCTGGCAATCTAGTCCAAACTTTTTTAAAGAAATATCCTTGAAATTTCTTTATACAAATAAGATTTCTAAGAAATCTATGGTAAAATCTTAATCATCTACACATGTTCTACTCTTTTAAATGGTTATGCTTCAAAACCATAAAAAAAAAACTTAATCTATAATACTAAATAGTTCATAATGTAAGTAAACCAAATTATTATTATTACTGTTGACTATGTTGTCATTGTATTCACTAATTTCTACTGTTTATATACATACATTTTATTGTATTTATCAAAGGAAATAATGAAACGTTACAGTATGTTATGATATAATTTTTCTATATAAATAAAGGAATTTATGATAGATTTATTCAAAATAGTTTTAATTTATAACTTCATTCTTTAAATTAAGGAAAATAAGTATCTCTTATGAAATCCGGTTATTCATACATTTAGTCATTTCTGATATATGTCGAGCAGGTTGAGACCTGTGATCTATATATCTTAACTAATTATGATATTTTTATACTTCTAGTGATCATGAGTGCTGTTAGATGTATGAGGGCAGTTATCACTACCCGGTTGACCACATTATGAAAGGGTTCTTCTGGAGGTACCTAAAAATAAAATTAGGTTAGAGGTGGTCTTAGTGACCTCAGAGTGTGACCGCAGTGTCCAAGGGACAGCGGCTTGATGTCGATCACACATGACCTTTTTGTCAGTGATTTTCGTGTTAGCTCCGTACTCGTTGAAACCTTACCGCAGGAGATGGATATCTGTGGAATAAGGCTAGGTGTGCATTTTTAGGATTGACCTTTTCCAACCACATCCCTCCTTGTGGAAAGGTAGCATCGCTGTTATACTGTCTGTCTGAAGGAAACACCTTACTGCCATCACATCTCTGTACAGTTAGCAGCATGACTTCGCTCTCGGACCTTAAGTTTGCTGCTTTTAGTCTTACCGTGCTTCAACCGATCGGCTTGGCATAGTAAGGCATTGAGAAACGATTTTTCCAGCCAGTATAGCTCGTTTGTTTCATTGAGATACGCAAGCCCGATCACCACGTCAAGGTCGGGTTTTACATTATTATTATTATTGGCTTTATTTAATATTATATTTTTGGTATAATATAGGATTCTCAGCACAAAATATTTCAACAAGTTTCATTTTCTTATGTCTTGATCTATCCTTGCAATAAATATTGAGTGGTCAGTCGACATCTGAATATTCATTTTTTTCGATGCATAGTGCCAGCAACCACGATCTCTCTGTAACTTGTACAGCGAAATGTCATCAACTTGTCACAAACGCTCCTGAATATTTTTCGCAACTAATAAGCATAATAATGTATTAAAACAAATGAGAAAACAGATAACTTGTTCAAATATCTAGATGCAGGAATAGGTAGACCAGATATTCAGACAGACCGCCTGGATGGTTAGATTACAATTTAAATAGTTCATAAATTCATGTAGTTAACTTTAACTTCCTATAATTGAATTACAAGATTTTTTTATTAAACTATTTACACACTCTTAAATATTTTACATTTAATGGTTAAAACACTCAAGTTTCAGTTAGATCGGTTATAAGTTCAAACATTATACTTTCTTACTTTCCGTTGATTAGTATCACTGATCTGCATTCAATATGTTATTTAAAATTGAGTATACACACACATCAATACTTGGCAAATAATTTCCAATTGAATTAACTCACCATTTTTATCTTTGTATTGGAGATGGTTGAAGAAAGTTAGGGGCGGCCAAACCAAAACGTGGCATCAGTGCTTGAAGTCAGTAACTTCTAGTCTGAGCCATGTTGGGATATGCAGACTACGTGGTTGAAGTTCGCATGACTATCGTAACCAATGGTTAGAGACTCTTGGTGACATGGCTCATAATCGATCACAATGGCGTAGGTGTATACACTCTCTGTCTTCCCTTAAATCAAGAGATTAAAATCACTTCATATCTTTGTTTCTACGAACTAATTCTTTCTTCCTGTACTATATTCTTATTGCAATCTTTCTTTTATATATTACCACCTCTGAATTAACTACTTTTATGAATCCGGTGTCCATCTTGTTGTGTTAATGAGGTATGGCAACTTGAACCGATGCATATATGTGCCTGGTCCTACGTTGTAGCTGACTGACTTATGTTTTTTTTTATTTTATAAATAATCTAAATATAAACAAGTAACAATTTTTAATTTTTTAAAAAACGAATTCAGTGAAGAAATAAAATGTAATTCCATTTACTGGAATTGTATACAAAACTTCTTTAATAATCATTTTAACTGAAATAATAATTTTTAAGCAAAGATGAATAGTGGCTAGCAGTGAAATCCTGTTTGACTTGCATTTCT